TATTTTCAAGCTTAAGGAACTTACTGTCTAAAAATCAAATTCATTGATTTTTTCCAAAGGGCAAGCAGATGGCCCCATTAGAAAAGGTCTTCCCAATAGTTTTCCAACATTCACTCTTTATTCTTCACATTGAATACCTGCTTTTCTGGAGGGCTGAAAAAAAAGAAGAAGAAACCCTAAAGTTGGCCATTGTGGAATATGCACAGGGCAGAGGGCATTTTTCTGTAGGGAAAGTGGCCCAGTTATAGAAAGCAGTCTCCCAAACCTCATGCCCTGAGGGCAGCCATCTCTGTGAGCTCTCGTGACTTCTGGTTCTGACTTCTGGTATGTATTTCCACACTAACAACGGTTTGCTGTGACCAGGACACCGCTGTTTACACAAAATGAGAGTGGCCCCAGAGTCCAAAATGACACAAGGCTGGAGGAGTGCCAAATTACATAAGCATAGCTTCTTATATGTGCAAAGTGGAAACCATGGCCAGGCTGAAAAACAAACAAACAAAAAACAGGACTTCGGAGTCCAGAGGAGCGAGTTCTAGCCCTGGTTAGATAGCGTCCAAGATGAGCTGATTTCTTCTATGATCACACCATTTAATCTTTCCCAGGCTCAGTGTCTGCATCCATAGAATGAAACGACGACGCTTGTGTAGGCAGTGTGCTCGGTGCTTGCTAAAATTGTTATTAGCAGAAATCGAGACAATTGACTTGCTTTTATGGAGGAATGAAGAAAAGGAAGTTGGGGAAGTGCAGCCTGTGAGATTCAGCGACAATTCCTCCTGCTTCAGATCCCAGATACCATGTCAGATTGAGGGCAGAGATCCCACCTCTTGTTGCATTCTTGAGCACTGCCTACATCCCCAAGGTGAGGAATTGAACTCTGGGGCACTGAGCTGTTCTGAAGGAGCTACCATTAATGGGGGAAATCCACATTTGAATTGTGTGCAAGGACTTTTGTCTTTGCTAGTCCTCAGCATTCTTGAAGAGAATGGTGTTGGAAGTTGCTTTTCCAGCGTGAACCCTTTGCCTCCAGAACCATCCAGATTCTTCCTGGATTCTTCTTTAAGTGGAGACAATCCAACATATATGCACAATTACTGTTCAGCATCTTCAAGGACATGTATTTGTGCTCAAAAGTCACCCTGAATCAGCATATTAAATTCTTTCAACTTTTCTGTAGGTTTGAACTATTTCATAATAAATTATTGGAAGATTTTTTTAATTGCCTTAGTCCAAAACCACATTCTTATACTGCAGTGAATTTAGAGTCTTCATTTTAGGGGAGAGAGAAAAATGGCAGTTTTATCAAAATGCAAAACAAATTTTAAAAATCTCATCACAATCTTATTTATAATAGCACAACATTCCTCCAAAACTGATTGCATTTTTTTATGGCACATTATTCTTAGGGAAGGCTCTACAGCCATTAAAACATTAGGTAAAAAGATGATTCAGCAACTTCATGCCTATTATAATGCTAAGTAAAACAAGCAACAGAGAGGCACATTTTTTTATACTTATTACAACTATGTTAAAAAGGAAAACAGAAAGACCAGAAGTAGAGGTACTTAAGAAGATGCTGATGTTTTGATAATGGGGCTAGGATTATAGGAAAATTCTCTTTCGTTTATGCAAATGTTACCTTTGGTGTAGTTATATGGCATTTTTTTAAAGAAAAAAATATTTTTATTATTTTCACTTAGTGTAATACTTTGATTTTGAAAAAAATAAATGGAGTGTTTTGTACCCAGGGCCCTCTACTTGGCACTGCTGGCAAGAGTAACTTTGCTTTGAAAGAAGACCTCGTTGGGTTGCCAAATGCATTGTTCAACTGTGGACGCAGAAATGACTTGGAGCACAATAGTTGCCAAGTTAAGGAGTGCCTGCTGGGCAGCCCTCCTTAGGTCTGGTTCAAGTCCATTGTTACATCCACATGGCCAACCTTTGAAGTTGGGTTCACAGAGCCCATTTTCTCCGAGCGTGAAGTTTATTATGTTGGAGACAACAAACCTGGGAGTGGGGACAAGATGTTCCAAAATGACCCTAAAGATCAACATAATCCCTGAAGAAATGTGTCCGAAAGAGCTGGAGACCTCCCGGCAAAGGTTGAGTTGTTATCAAAAGGGAAGTTGGGTATGGGCAGGGTATTTATTTCAGAAATTGATCAGTGATCAGGTCGGCCTTTGGTGAACCAGCCCTTTGCTTCCGCTTAACCGGCCTCTCACAAAAGAGCCATTATTGCCCTTTGTTCTTAGGCAGCAGGAGTCAGGGTCACATCTAAAGCTCCTGGTTTCCCAACCAGGACCGGGCAAGGCTGAGAGGTCAGAATCCAAGAACAGCAGGGTGCTGTGCACTCTGTGGAGGTTGCAGACCTGGAATTCTGACCCTGCCCTCCTTCTGGGTTGCCAGAGGCCTCAGAGTCCCAGAGAATCAGCTTTGGTGCCAGCCCTTCTGGGGAAGGGTCCCAGGTGCTCATTTTGTTTTGGAGAACTTGCATTCTCTTTTTTAGCTCAATGACTTAGCAACAATATTGCTTAAAGACCTTCCATGTATAAGGAGCTAAGGTGGCAACTATAGATAAAGATACCCACAAGGGATCCACAAAGAATCCATATAGGCATAGTCCATGTTATTATTGTTGTTGTTGTTAAAATCAATGTTTGTTGAGCCTTACTCTTTGTCAAACACTATTCTATGGACTTGCCCTAAATTAACTGATTTAATCTTCATAACAGCTCTATGACATGGGTCCTATTAGAATGTGCATTGTATAAAGAAGGAAACAGACACAGAGAAGCAAGCACCAGCAGTCTTGCTCTAGAGCCTGCAATCCTAACCCCCACGCCCACCCCAAGACTGTCTCTCATACAGTGCCAGGTGCCATGAAGCATTCGCTTTGGACAGAAAGGCTAGGGAACGTTTTCAGATGTTTTGGAAGTTTGCTACTTCAATGTGGGCTTTCCAGCATTTCTTTTCAGTTTAAGGGTTCAGTGAATAAAATTCCTCCTTTATTTACTTCAAAATCTCTAACATTAAATAAAAATATTTCTTTTTCAATATAAAAACAACATAAACCTACACATTTTTTCTTAATCAAAAAAAAATAAATAAATAACACATTTGTGTAACTCAAAACCCCATAACCAGTGGTGTTTTGCATGCTTTTTCATCGCATCTCCCCACATATTTAACAATTTCAATAATATATAACAATTTGCCTCCCTTGTATTCCTGTTGCTTAAATTTAAAGTAGGTACAAAGTTGCTACATCATTTTTATATTTATCACATGAATGTATTCTGTGTGGTGGATATTCCATAATTAACTTGACCATTACCCTATTTTATACCATTCTTTATGAATAACATTGTTATGGACATCTCTAGGTCTAAAGCATGTTTCATATATTACACTAGGGGCCCGATGCACAAAATTTGTGCATGGGTTGGGTCCCTAAACCTAGCCGGCGAAAAGGGCCAATCAGGTTCTCCGCCTCCCCCCCTACTCCCCTCCTTCCCTCACAGCCCACATCCACTGCCATCCAACCCTGGTTCACCATCCCAGCCTGGGGCCTGCCAAGGGGGAAGGGCCAGCTGCCACCTCTGTGGGTGAGTGGCAGGCCAATCAGGCCTGCTGGCTGGAGAGGAAACAGGAGAGGGACCCAGGAGATTGGCAGCTGGCCCAGGGAGCTAGCCCTTGGCCCGCCCTGGGAAAGGGGGGAAAGGGGCCACATCCACCACCACCCACTCCTGGTTCCCCATCCTAGCCCGGGGTCCGACCCCAATCAGGCGATAGGGGCCTCCTAGTGGGGTGGGGGGGAGGAACCAGGAGTTTGGCCAACAGGCCCCATTGGCAATCAAGGATTGCTGGCTGGGACAGCTCCTGCATTGAGCGTCAGCCACCCTGGTGGTCAGTGCACATCATAGCAACCAATCATTCTGGTCCTTCCATCAAAATGGTTGCTTAGGCTTTTATATATATTGTTTCCCAAGCCAGAATTCTCAGAGGTGGAATTTTACAGAATCAAGAAGTAAGAATATTTCTAAAAATGCTTGATACACACTGGGTATTATCTCCCAAGATGTACTCTAAGGCAGAATGTTTTACTTGTCAGCAGTTGATCATTTGTCAAGCAGTATTTTAAGAAAGAATTAAGCATATGTGGCCAGGAATGTAAGCTGAGTCCAAGCTGAAGAATAGGAGATTTTAAGTAAAGCAGGAAGTTCATGGAACCCCTGGGAAATACGCTGAGGAAGGTGAGTGAACACACTTCCTTATACAGACATTGAAGAACAAGAACTTGATTGTAGAGATAATGGGGACCCTTTCTAAGCTGCCAAACAGAGCCTATAGGATCAGACTTGCACATATAAAAGATATCCATGCAAGGAAGCAGCTGGGAGGATGGGTGGTGATGAGAAGACAGTGGTCACAGGAGGCCATCAGAGGAGTGAGGAATGTGGGATTGTTAAGACTTGAATGTAACTCATCAGGAGGTAGGAATATAGATGTCTTCCCAGGTTCCTGAATCGATGCCACTCAGCTTAGAAAGGACACACACAAGAAAAAAACGGCTTAAAGATTGGAATGGAAGGGATGATTAATTTAGCTTGAAGCTGAGGCACTGATAGAGTCTCTATCCGGAGGACTATTGAAGAAGAATTGTACATAATGATCTGAGCCCCAGGGAGGGGTCTGAGGAAGGGGCTGGGCTTGAATATCACCACAGTTCAGGGCTAACCTGCAGCTCTGTGAGTGAGGTAACTCTCCAGGGAGAGGTGCTAAAGGGGGCAGCAGAGAGAAGACTGAGAAACACAGACATTCAGGGACATGATAGATGACAAGGATTTTAGGAAAGGTGATGACGATCTGAAAATGCAAGAGAACATGATATGGTGCAACTAGGTCACAGAACAATTTTTTTAATATATATTTTTAAATATGTCTTGTGACCTTAGGAGAAATTTAAAAAAGAAAAGAGGGGAGACAGAGGAGAGATTTACCACAAATGTTGCATAGATCAGCCACCTTTCCTGGGCAAACATTATTTGATGATGATTTCACAACTCCCTGATAATCAGTTTTCTCATCTGTAAAATGGAAAACGCTATTTTGTAATTACAAAGTTCTTGTGAGGCATGGTTGAAAAAAGTACGTGTCAAAACTGCCCATAAACCAACATTCCCAAAAGTGTATTTTTGTGGACTATTCCTTGAGATGATAGGTTATTGTAGTCTGATAGAACTAGGATCTATGATGTTAGACAAGATTAAGCACGTTTCCTTGCTGCAACTCCTCTGAACCTTTAGTGGACTCACATGCAGAGTGAGTTTCCAAGGGAGACATATAGTATTTTCCCAAATGTATTGGGCCATGGAATACTTTTCACAGAGTACCTGCAGCGATTCGTGCCTACAGAACCCACCTTGGGAAACCCAGTGCAGTGACACCCACTTTACCAAGCTGGGAGGATTGGTGTGGTGACATGTGCAAAGTTCCTAGCCGGACTGGTGATCAGTGATCATTAGCTCTTTTCCCACACCAGACAAAGAAAGCAGGCATGTCATTCTGGAAAATCAGAGCTAAAGTGCATAAAGGAAATCTTAGGAAACACTCTGGGACCCTATGTTCTTTTCAGAAAAGCAGCTGTGAATGGGGTCAAGTGCCAGGTCTACAACTTTCTAGCTGTGTGATCTGGCAGTAGTTACTTGGCCTCTCTGAGAAATGATGCAAGAATGAAATCAGATAATCTAGTATTTGCCTCTTACTGTATAATGAATTACCCTAAAACTGAGTGACTTAACACTCATTTATTATTTCAGTTTCTGTTGGTAGAACACCAGGCACTTAGCTGAATTCTCAGCTTTGAGATCTCTTGTAAGACTGCAATTGAGATGTTGGCCAGGACTAGGGATTCAACTGAAAGCCCCACTGGAAAAGAATCTACTTCCAAGCTGCATTAGTGGTTATTGGTGGGATTCAGTTACATGAGGACCTCAGTTCCTCTCTGGTTTTTGGCCAGAGGTCACCACTCATTTCATCCCATGTGGGCCTCTCCAACATGGTAGCTTGCGCCATCAAAGCAATAAGAGGGAGAGACTGCTAGCAAGAAGGAGTCGCAATCTTTTGTAACTTAATCATGAAAGAGCCATCCCCTCATTGACCGCATACTCTATTTGTCAGGAGCACATTACTCAAGGGAAGAAGATTACACAAGGCCAGGAGGTAGGGCCACTGGGTGTTATCTGAAAGACTGCATGCCACATAAAGAGAAGCATTTTAATATTTTATGCTCCTATATAATGGTTGGTTATTCTTATTATTTTTTAAAAAATGCCTGTTAAAATTGATTGGTCAATAGTATCAACTGACTATCACCTTAGAGAATCAAAGCACTTAGAAAGCATGGCAATGGGGGAAGAAAAACAAAACAAAACACGGAATACAAGATTCACCATTGGCTGACTATAGAACAAAGCACTTTGAAATGATCTTAAACCATAAACCACCCAGAAAGCCATTGCTTCATAGTTTTTACTCTCATTGAGAAATGTTCTTAGATTTATACCATTACCCATCTCTCTATGAAAGGCAAAGATGGGTAAAAAAAATCATTATTTTAAGTATTTTACACATAGTAACTCATTTAATCTCAGGATAACCCTGTAAATAGGTTCTGTTATTCTCCTTTACAAATGAGGAAACTGAGGTACAAAGAAATCACAGGATGGGGCCAGTGGTCCTGTAGCTCATGAGTGGAAAATTAGGGATCCCAACCCTCTTTGTGAGCTCACAGTCTATCTTAGTCTCTATAGTTTATGATCTTGTAGGAGCAGGAGTACGTTGTCCCTGGTCACTCAAGGTGAATTAATTACAGAGAAACTATCCTCCAGGTAATCATTAGAGATGTGAGGTAGGGGAAGAATGGGAGGTGGGACGACAGTAGACAGACTCACCCCCACGCGGCTTTGCCTTAATCCTTGCATCCATTCAGTATATCTGTGATGTCAGCGGGCCAAAGTTAGCTGGGGTCCTGCTGAAAATTATGAAAATTATGGTCTTAGTTACCCCTTAGTGAGCTCAGATTAATTTATTAGCCTTTCTGAATACCAAGGTAAAAAAAAAAAAAATTAACAGATACTGAAAACTCTCCTAGAGCCTTTCCTGTGACCAAGAATCCAGAAATAAACAGGCCTGAATAACCTTCAGAGGCTGGGTTAGTAGGAAGCCATGCCCCAATCTGTACAAATCGCAATAGACCTTTTTACAAATTGAGGTTTTGTGTAAGTGTAGCACAAAGCTTGGAAACCTGACAACATCTGTGCATGTTTCTGAGCTTGGGCAAGCCAGAGCACCACCACAGAGCTTTTGGGAACATTATGAGGTCAAATATGTTATCTGGGTTATCTCATAGACCCTGGTTGGTGTCCCCTTGCCTTCTCTATCCTTGTGGATAGAGGCAGCTTACTTTCCAGGAAAATGAAAAAAAAACCTTCAGCTTTCTCACAAATGGGTTCTGGTGGTCACCATGTCAACCCATGAACTTACTAAGGATGTCACAGCACCAGAAGCTGAGTTTAGGAAGAGACAGAATTTAGCACATCATGTGACTGAGGAAACAGCTTAGAAGAGTGGGTATGAATGCAAGTCCTCCCATCCCCCATTACCCACCTCCTAAAAATGAAAAGCCAGGTAGAGGGAACACCAGTGCTTCTGTCATTGTTCCCCTTAACTTTGGAGCCTGTTAATTAACCACTGAGCCAAATTAGCTCAGCCAGGAACAAAGGCCAGTGGGGGCAGGAAGGAAAGAACAAAGCACTTCAAAAGGACTTGAAGTCATTCTCCAGGCCTGATGCTTGGAGAGCTACCCAGAGAGATGCCTGCCACCTGCAGAACTGGAATCCAGCTCCCACAAAGAACCTGCTATCCGATGCTTTCCAAACTCTGCACAGAATGAGTTCCTCACACCATCCTTTGCAAAGATTAATACAACAGCCACACACACTCTTGCCGCCACAGTCTGTTTACCCATCTGTCACCATCATTTGACACTTTCAGACATGGTCTCCTCGATGATTCCAAACACTGCTGTAGCTTCTGAGAGTAATTCCAATCACATCCAGAAGTTTGGTGGGATCATTAGCCCTGCATCTGGAATCAAGGAACAAAACCTAACAGACAAAGTCTTTCTTTCTCTCCCAAGTGAGATCCCCAGCTCTAAAAGGGCTGCCTTAATTTTACATCAGTGTTTTATCTCTGGTATTGATATCTCCATGGAGAAAAGACCAATTTTAAGAAGTTTTATGACCAGAGAAGCTCTCTTTTTCTAATCCCGGGAGTCTGGGATTAATTCTATATTTCCCATTTTCTACCTCTGTGATCCTAGACTGGATGCTGAATCTCTCAGAGCTTCAGTATTATTTGTTATAAAGACAGGGTCATCACACAAACTGGGCTGGTTTGCTTTGAGCATGGATTCATATAATGGATATGACATGCCTTGCTCTTGACCCTTCATTTTCAGAGCATTTCCGTGAGGATTCTCAAAGGTGCTCTTTCTTTTGTCCAGCCAAACAGGTAAGGATTTTACACCTTTCTTTCCAGCACATCCAGGTGACAACACTTTAGTGCACCCAGGATTCTTGGGGTAAATGCAAACATGGCCCAGCCCCATGGGGTCTAAGCTACTTGCCAGCGCAGAGCCTGAGAACTTGACTGGCTCAGTGTCAGCCATCCTGTCCCATCCTGGCTTGGCTGTTAATAGTAGGCATTTGTAGTAAAGCCTTGGTATGCTGGGTGTCTGCATTCCCCCATCCATACCTCATATTGGTTCTTATTTCTGAACTGGACTCCTGACCTTGAATCACCACCCTGCTCCTTCTTGTAGTGTTTGTTTGTTTGTTTGTTTGTTTGTTTTATTTGTCGTTAGTTTTTATGTAAGCTTGGTTAATGACATTTAAGTTCCAGGTGTACAACATTATAATTGGATATATCTATACTTTTTGTGTATCCACCACCAAAAGTCTAGTTTCCTTCTGTTACCATATACTTGTGAATTGGGTAATGGAGGTCAAATACGTGCTTCTTTTTGTCTTGCTGGTGCCTGGTCATCTTTCATTTCTAGCCTCTGCTACTCAGAACTGACCCCTGTTGGAAATTTCTTATTTACGTCTCAGAGAATTCAGAGCCTTAGACCCAGGAAGGGTCTTAGAATACAGATATAATGTCTAACTTCTTAGTACAAGGATCCCCTCTGAAGCCAGCCAGCCAGCCAGCACACCTATTGAGCTCTCATTATATCCCAGGTACTGCAGTAAGTCAAGAAATTAAAAAATTAGTAAAACTTTAAGAAACTCATCTTCTGCCAAAACCGTTTTGGCTCAGTGGATAGAGCATCGGCCTGCAGACTGAAAGGTCCCAGGTTCGATTCCGGTCAAGGGCATGTACCTTGGTTGCGGGCACATCCCCAGTAGGGAGTGTGCAGGAGGCAGCTGATCGATGTTTCTCTCTCATCGATGTTTCTGACTCTCTATCTCTCTCCCTTCCTCTCTGTAAAAAATCAATAAAATATATTTAAAAAAAAAAAAAAAAAGAAACTCATCTTCTGGTGAAGGATACAAGCACATAAATGTATATTTACCTGTTACAAAGTGATTGTTCATCTTAGAGGCTATTCAACCAGGCTGTAAGCCAACATCTCCATTACAGGGCCTTCTTTGTGATAGGGCTTAGTCCAGCCGTGGGCAAACTATGGCCCGCGGGCCGGATCCAGCCCGTTTGAAATGAATAAAACTATTGAAAAAAAAAGACCGTACCCTTTTATGTAATGATGTTTACTTTGAATTTATATTAGTTCACACAAACACTCCATCCATCTTTTGTTCCAGCCCTCCGGTCCAGTTTAAGAACCCATTGTGGCCCTCGAGTCAAAAAGTTTGCCCACCCCTGGCTTAGTCCATCACCAGGTGTTTCTAATTGCTAAAATGTTCTTTCTAATTTGAGCCCTTTTCTCCTCCCTTCTACCTTCACCTATTGGATTTAGAGTTTAAACCCACGCCAATCTGAGATCAGGCTCCATTCTTACCAGTCGTGTGACTTTGAACAAATCTTTCAACCTCTCTGGGACTTGGTTTGTTCAGCTGTAAAATGAGAATTATATCATATGGATGTGTTATATTATGTGAGTTAACTGTTTTTGCTCTAAACTGATAAGGAAACTGAGGCTCAGAATGCTTAAACCAGCGGTTCTCAACCTGTGGGTTGCGACCCCTTTGGGGGTCAAACAACCCTTTCACAGGGGTCGACTAAGACCATCCTGCATATCAGATATTTACATTAAGGTTCATAACAGTAGCAACATTACAGTTATGAAGTAGCAACAAAAATAATTTTATGGTTGGGATTCACCACAACATGAGGAACTGTATTAAAGGGTCGTGGCATTAGGAAGGTTGAGAACCACTGCTTTAGGCTCTACACCTAAATATTACTGCTCACAGGACTTCTCCATTTGATGGACCACAGCTACCTCAAGAAGAATGTGAACACATTTTCTTTCCCTACAAATCTGTTCCATCCCATCTTCTCCTGTCTCACGCAAGTCAGATGCCTGTATGTCATGCTCACCTCCAGCTCTCACTTCACCTCTGACAGCCAACCAAGCCTCTGGTGCTGCCTCTTGAATGCTGCCCACTCAGCCCTCTACTCTTTACCTCCTTGTGTGGCTTTGGTTGCTGCAGGCTTCATTTCTTGCCTGGATTTCAACAAGTCTCCTAACTATTCTCCCTGCCTCCAGTCAGACCTCCTGTAATTTGTTGTCCTATTCAGTGATGGCGAACCTTTTGAGCTCGGCGTGTCAGCATTTTGAAAAACCCTAACTTAACTCTGGTGCCATGTCACATATAGAAATTTTTTGATATTTGCAACCATAGTAAAACAAAGATTTATATTTTTGATATTTAGTTTATATATTTAAATGCCATTTAACAAAGAAAAATCAACCAAAAAAATGAGTTCGTGTGTCACCTCTGACACACATGTCATAGGTTTGCCATCACTGTGACCTATCTGGTGCCCAAGTGCTTTTTTTTAAATTTGTACTATTTGCTTAAGACTCCTCCCTGGCTAATCATTGTCTCAGAGATAGCATCTACCTTCCTTAACATACAATCCAGCCCATTTATCTTCTATCCCTGCTGCCTCTCAAGTCTACTCCACCATTCCCTGCTTCATCCTCTGCTCCAGACTATTTAGATCACTTGAGTTATGAGGATAATTAGAAAAACAGTTAAGCCTATTGGGTTTTCACTACGAGTTACACAATTGTCCTGTCAGCCGTACATGTATGCGGAGTATACAAATTACTGCTTCATAAGTGAAGAGAATGGGGTTCAAAGAAGTTAAGTCATTTGCCCAGAATTTTCAAAATCCGGTCTATCTAGCTCTAGCTCCATAACTCATGCTCTTCGCACTGTGCTCTAGAAAGCTGGCTGACTGCTCAGTGTGGATCACCTGCTATGCCCTGCCCGCACCCCACTCCAGGTTGGCTGATTGCTTCAGGTCTTAGTTCAAGGGTCAGCCCTCTGGAAAACTATGGTTGACCTTTTGCCCCCAGGCTGACTCAGATGGCTCATTAATCTTTCATTTATCATACTTCTTTCAATTGAAGATTCCATCATCTCAAATACGCATCCTATTTGGGTCGTGCAGGAAAACAAAAATTCCACCATGATAAATGTACACATCCTCAGTCATATCTCACACAGCACACAAACACACATGCACACATAAGCACATAAGATAGCTCCTATGCAAACAGCTAAGTTCAGTCTCTACTAGCCTGCCTCTATTGGTCCAATTTCCAATTCTATGAGGCTAAGCTTTTTAAGGGATTATCTCATTTTGATACCCCCATAGCCTGATACATGGTAGAAACTAAGTGATTAAAACTTCAGTGGAAAAATAATAAATAGCATTTTTTAAGCACATACAAAACTGCAGGCATTGAACTAAGCATTTAACATGGATTATCTTGATTGCTCACGACAAAAACTATGAGATAGGGGTTTTTCTTACTTACATTTTGTGAGAATGGAAACAAAAAAATCAGAGAGGTTAAGTAAGTCACTTAAGGTTCCACAAATAAAGTGATAAAGGATTGAGATTTAAAAACAGATTGGCTGATGTCAAAGTTTGAGTTTTAACCCTAGGCTGCCTTTCCAAAGAGCAGACTCTTCGTTGTTCCTCAGAAATGATGTCCAGCCCCCAGTGTCCTCACACCTTCCTGTCCCCGCCCATATAGGCCAAACCTAACAAGATTATTCTCATCCTTTCTTTTTGTCAGTGTCTTTCTCAAAAAAATCACACAAAAAGTTAATTTCAATTCAAAATAGCTTGTCCACCATAGAAAATAATAGAATTAGTACCTCCTTTGAGCTGGATGCCACTTTGTCAACCTATTTTAACAGCTGAGGCACACTGTTGATATTAGGTGAGCACGTAGTCTACCTTGACTCTAAGTCTTTCTCATTAAAACTAAGCCAGGCAGCATTAGTCTTACATTTTTTGTACTTCTTTCAGTTAAAGACTCTATCGTTTGTAAGATGTCTCTTTGACTTAATATCTTCTTTGCAGAAAAATAAATTAAAAATTAACCATGGAAAATATACACAGCTTCAATCTGTACTTTATGCCATATATAAAAATAAATTAAAAATGGACTGTAAACCTAAATGTGAAATTAAACATAGCAGAAAATCTTTGTGACCTTGGATTAGACAAATATTTCTTAAATATGATACCAAAAATACAATACATGAAGAAAAGTTGATAAATGGAACTTTACCAAAATGAAAATCTATTCTTAAAAAGTCACTTTTGCCCTAACCAGTTTGGCTCAGTGGATAGAGCGTTGGTCTGCGGACTGAAGGGTCCCAGGTTCAATTCCAGTCAAGGGCATGTACCTTAGTTGAGGGCACATCCCCAGTAGGGGGTGTGCAGGAGGCAGCTGATTGATGTTTCTCTCTCATCGACTTTCTAACTCTCTATCCCTCTCCCTTCCTCTCTGTAAAAAATCAATAAAATATATTTTAAAAAATAAAATAGCCGAAACCGGTTTGGCTCGGTGGATAGAGCGTCGGCCTGCGGACTGAAAGGTCCCGGGTTCGATTCCGGTCAAGGGCATGTACCTGGGTTGCGGGCACATCCCCAGTAGGAGATGTGCAGGAGGCAGCTGATTGATGTTTCTCTCTCATCGATGTTTCTAACTTTCTATCTCTCTCCCTTCCTCTCTGTGAAAAATCAATAAAATATATTTAAAAAAAAATAAATTAATAAAATAAAATAAAATAAAATAAAATAAAATAAAATAAAATAAAATAAATAAAAAGTCACTGTTAACAAATGAAAAGACAAGCCAAGCAACTGGGGGACAATATTTACAAAACACATATTAGATAAAGAACTTACCCAGAATACATAGTAAACTTTCAAATTCAATAAAAAAAATCCAACAAAAAATTTGAACAGACACTTCACTACAGAAGATATATGGACAAATAATCATATGAAAAGATGACCATATTAAGATTTCTTTTAAGAAAATGCTGACAATATCAAGATACAGAACTCTCATACATTGCTACTGGGAGTGAAAATGGCCATGGCAACTTTGGAAAACATTTGGTCAGTCCCCTAAAATCTTAAACATACCCATGCCAGGGATGCACTGCCTGAATTTAATCATGAGGCAATAGGAAAAAGAAAAATATGGAACTGTATCATTCAAAACTGTCATATCATAAGTACAAAGAAATATTATATAAATGTTCCAGATTAAAGGAGATCATAAGAGACTGACAACATATGTTTAGGGGGGGAAATGCTAAATGTATATTATTGACTCAATAATATAATCTGAAATCTGATGGTGGATTAGATAAAATATTGTCAGTGTTGAATTCACTGAGGTTGATCATTGTACTATGGTTATGTAAAAATATCTTTACTCCTAGAAAATATACACTGAAATATTTAAGAGTAAATAGAAAAAATTTAGGAGTAGAGAGCCAGGATGTGTGCAACTTTCTCTCAAACAGTTTAGGAAAAAAATATTATTTCTTGAAATTATTATCTCTATTATTTTGTTATTATTGAACTTATTATTATTGTCAAAATTCTTTCCAAATAAAACCTTTTAAAAATGTATCCTTTAAGCATGTCATTTCACACATAGATTTAGCACTAGGAGCGTTGCTTAATTACAGAATGTGGGTGGGGAAAGGATGGAAAATGGTTTTCCAAGTCCAGTGAAAATCCTCTATCAGCCTATAAGCTGGATCCTTATAAAAGCATCAGTTTTAAATATCACTTTACAGTTGTTCTCCCAGGCTTTTTATTGGGACAAACATCATGCACACTTCCTCCTTCAGACAATGTCTTCTCTGGTGTGGTAAGGGCCCCTGCAGACACCTACCTGCCAATCATTTCCAACACAACAACCTCCATTTTCCTCAAGTTCCTCCAAAGAAGGATTGAATATTACCAAAGTTATCTCAACATTTTCCCTTTTCCACTGTTTGATGTGACCAGGATCTTCTTGGATATAGTCAGTGATCCTGTTGGTCAAGACCTAGGCAGTCCCATGACTTTATTCTCCTCTTTCATGGGCATTTTACTGCTCAGTACTACTTAGGGTGGGAGTAGGTGCATAGATTTTAAGGAAGAAGACGAATTAATTCTGGTGTCTTGTTTTCATCACAGATTTGTCATCCTGATAGACTTGCTATTAACACAGAAATAGAAATACATTGGCTCAGACAAAGTTTGGCGAAAGGGATAAGATTCCTGTTGCAATTACCAGATCTTAGAAAATTAACACATGAAAAGCTTAATTATCACACTCACAAAGATCAATATGGATTGCTTGGTGCTCCTCCAAGTGATGACTGGGAGATCCCTTGACTTTAGTGTCATTATCATCTTCAACGTGTATTCTGCACTGTTGCCACTGCATGGGGGGAAAAAAGAGTGGGTAGCACATGGAGCATTGTGTGTAGGTCTAGAAGTGGCTTACATCATTTTATCCACATCATACAGCCGAAAATAATTCATAGACATCAAAACTCCTCCACTGGGAGAAGGGCCTACATTTCCTCCTCTTGAATCTAAATAGAACTTTATAGCTATCTCCACCTGCAGAGTATAGTGGAAGTGCCAGTGCATGGCTTCTAAGACTACGTTGTAAAAGACAGCATGGCTCACTCTCTCTGTGTCTCTAAATGCTCATCTTGGACTATAGCCACAACATGGTGATGAAGCCTAGGCCACATGGAGAGGCCACATGTGTATGTTCCTGCTGACAGCCCCAAGTAGTTCCCCAGCCACGAGCCAGGATCAACTGTTAGATCTGTAAGTGAATAAGTCTTCAGCTTTCTACAGAAGGCTCTAGACATGATGGAGCAGAAATGAGCTATCCTGCCTGGCCGGCATAGCTCAGTGGTTGAGCGTCAACCTATGAACCAGGAAGTCACGGTTCAATTCCCAGTCAGGGCACATGCCACATGCCTGGTTGCAAGCTCAATCCCCAATGTGGGGCATGTGGGAGGCAGCTGAACAATGATTCTCTCTCATCATTGATGTTTCTATCTCCCTCTCCCTTCTCCCTTCCTCTCTGAAATCAATAAAAAAAATATTTTTTTTAAAAGAAATGAGCTATCCTGCTGTATCCAGTGAAATTCCTGACTTGCAAAAAATGATAAGAAACAATAAATTATTATTATTGTTTTAAGTCACTAAGTTTGGATAACTTGTAACACAGTGATAATAGATAACTAATACAGTGAGCACCTTGCTAGTCTCTGCACAATCCTCCAGCCTCTCTACATGGAGTTGCATATTGGGATTCTCAGACTACCAGCTGGGAGAAAAACTACCACAACCATCGTCACCGCCACCATCTTCACTGGTCATTGTTGGTCTCAGTAAGAAATGCAGATGCCACACTGAAAAGGGAAAATTGTGAGACTTTTGTAAAGGTGGTTACGGCAGGGTTACGGGATTTTATTAGTAACATACTCTGGGACTGGCAACAATGAAGGGTCGGGGGACATTACCATCCTAGTCCTGAAGGGGCAAGGTAAGGGCTGGCTATGGGAATCTAACTACACAGGAGGGATCAGCTGAAAGGGATTGTAACATTCTGAATGCAACCACGGCAAAGAGAGGCCCAGCAAAGAGAGCTAGGGGGATAAATGCCCAAACTGTCTCTCCTCTCACTCTCTGGTCTCTCGATAATATATTTCCTATTGGTTGAAAAGAACATGAAGCAAAAGGCAAAGGAGCCTGGCTGACACAGTCACGGGGTCAGCCTCCCAGGGGAAAGAGCAGGATGAGAAAGGTAGAGAGTAGATTTGGAGAAGAAATGTGGATATTCTGCACATTCACCATCATCACCATCATTACCACCATCACCACCATCATCATCATCTTTATCATCACCAACTTTATTTACCTCAAATGTGCATACAAATTCCTCATGCTTTCTCTTGTACCATCCTCAGAAGGTAACTCTTGCATCTAGCAGTGGACTTGGTATATAACTGGTGCTTAGTTAAAGCCCACAAATATAGTAGAATTTCTACACTATTCAAGGATCTGGGATAGAAGTATTGGTACAGAGAATAAAATTCCAAGTATCATCACAAAAATGCAGTTTATAAAGGCTTGATCAGAAAAGACTCATGGAGGTAGTGGTGCCCAAGTTTGCCTTTGGGTGATGAATAGATCTCACAACAGGTGTACTTGAAAGGGAGAGAGAGCTTCCACATCCTGGAAACCACATGAAGGAAAAGTTTAAAGGTGAGGGAAATAGAGACCATGTCATGGAAACAGGAAATATTTCCATTTTTTCTGCAGCATAGAACTTAAAAAAAAAAAAAAGATGTAAGCTTGGCAGGTGAAAAAGAAGAGTGCTCATATACACTGAGTGGCCAGATTATTATAACCACCCCATCTGAACTTTGTTGGGCCACCTTTTGCCTTCAATACTGCAGCGATTCTTCTTGGCATTGACTCCATGAGATGTTGAAAGGTGATGCGAGGAATCTGACACCAGGCCTGATGAATAGCACTGTCCAGTTCTGTGAGATTTGATGGCTGTGGAACCAGCTGCCTGATGGCTCTTTTAACTTCGTCTCACAAATACTCAATTGGATTGAGATCTGGTGATTGTGGGAGCCACCTAAGCAAGGTAAAGTCTCCCTCATGTTCTTGAAACCACTCCTGCACAATACGAGCACCGTGGCATGGCGCATTGTCTTATTGGAAGAAGCCATCTCCGTTGGGATATGCCATCAACATGATAGGATGAACCTAATCAGCAACGATACTTAGGTATGTTGTGCTATTCAGAAGTTGTTCCACACGAATTAAAGGGCGCAAATCATGCCAGGAAAACATGCCCCAAACCATAACACTGCCCCCACCAGCCTGAAGGGTTGTACTCATGCATGTGGGGTGCATGCTTTCATGCTGTTTCCGCCAAATTCTCACTCTGCCATCTGCATGATGCAACTGGAAACGTGATTCATCGGACCACATGACTTTTTTTCCAATGCTCGACTGTCCAATCCTTGTGTTCCTGTTCGAATTGGAGACGTTTTATCTTGGTAACTGCAGACAGCAAAGGTGTTCGAACAGGCCTTAGGCTTCCATAGCCCATATGATGCAGTGTAAGGCTAATTTGCCTACAAACATCAGGTGGTCATAATAATCTGGCCATTTAGTGTATATTGTTATGTCTTGAAAGCTGAGATATATTTGTATTCAGCACTGATGGTTTTTGAGCAGAGGAAGAAAATATTCTAACTGGGTAGGATAAATGGAGTACTCTCATACATAAAGTGGAAAGATTATTTATGGGAACACTGCGCTAGTTTTAGTAATGAGATTCCTGCTAAAGGGATGGGAGCAGAAACAGAAGAAAAGGTGTTGCAACAGACTGACAGTATGAGAGCCGAGAGAGTAAAAATGACCTTTCCTTTAGCCAGTCACTGCTGGACATAGTGATGCCATTTGTCCAACACCACAAGTATTTACTGAGTGACTGACTACTCTGTGCCAGGCACTGCTCTTGACCTTGTGGACACAGCAGAGGGCAAGACAGATAAAGCAGTCTCACTCCCCACCCGATTCAGTGAGAGAAGTTAATGCCATTGACATGAGCAAGAAATTCAGGACTAAGAGATGGCATACAGGTTCTCTGCCTGGAATAGTCTTCCTCTAAGCTCCTTTGCCTAGAAAAATCCTACTCATCCTTCACAACCACCTCTAATTCACCAACAAGTTAGACACTTTTGTCCCTCATTCTTTAATAGTGCTTTGCTCGTTCCTCTGGAACCTCCCTTCTGAGACAACTAGAATTTTAAGGACTTAAGACAAGCTTTTGTAATTAAAAGAGATGGTTAAAGTCTCTTGGAAGTTTTGTTAAAACTATTAAGTCAAACCATTAGCAAAACTGCATTAGTAGATCAAAATCTTTAAAATGGCAGAAATTTATTATGACTGAAATCCATTCTTTTTCCTGAAAAATTGGAAGCAAGGATGGACTCTGTGCACCACCCACCCCCTCATCTTTACGCCCATGGAATCTTGGGGTGGTGGTGTCATGCAGCAAAATGGCCCTGAATCCAGGCTCTAAGCTTTCTGGGTCATACCTGTGCTTCATTCCTCACTGGCCGGATTAGAGAACAGCTGGGTCCAGTGCACCCAGGCAGTCAGTACAGCCTTTTAAGTCAATCTGGCCTAAGCTGGAAAGGAGGCTGTTCCACTTAAATCACAAGGTCTCTGACAAGGATATCAACTCTGCAGAGCCTTGGCTTTCTGACCTGTTAAGGAAGAAGAGGGTTCCTGTGAGGATTAAATGGTGCAAAAATTAGAAAACTCCTGCCGATCCCTCTTCACCATCCTGTTCCTGGCAGGTATTCAATAAAGTATGTGTGTGTGTGCGTGTGTGTGTGTGCATGTGTGTGTGTGTGTGTGTGTGTGTGTGTGTGTGTGTGTGTTTTGGGGGGGATCAATTAAATTCACAAGTTAGGTCTCCCATTGCACTGTGTGTACAATTCTTCACCCTGTGGCTGGCTGTCCCCAGAGACATCTCTGGTGTTACTTCTTGAAGACCGTCTCTGAGGGAGACCCAAGACTGAGAACCCCAGGAAGTCCTCAGGACAGCTTTAATAGGCCCTTGCATCTTTTCTTCAGCTCCATGCTCGCCCCTGTAGTCTATCCTTCCCACAGAAGCACCTGGGTTCACAGTTAACTCATTATTCCCAGCTGAACACCTGTCACTGGCTCCCCACAGTGCCTATCCTAACCCTTCACCTTGACATCACATCCCTGCTTGGTTCCCTCTCTCTGAGATATTCCCTCAAGCTGGACACTCAGTTTGTGGGCTATTTAAAAGAAGGGTCTGCTGGTAACCTACAGCAAGCCATGCAGACTATCCATGCTCAGCTTCCTCTTCTATAAAATGAGAATGAGGATTCCTCAGAGGTTTTTGCAAAGTTTAAATTAAAAAAATATGTAAAGAATTCAGTATAATGCCTGGAACATAATATGTGTTCAATAAATGTCAGCTACTATGACTGTTGTGGTGATACTGAATTGCTTGGGATTTCAACATTGGTGGTGCCACTTTAAGCACCTAGATCATGCAGAGTGCCATCTATCTCTCATACCTGCATAAGTCTTACTCTTTAAAAGTCAAAGGCAGTCTTTCTAGAGTCTCCAGGTTGAGCTAAAAGCCTCCCGTTAGTTGTCTCAGGCATCTATTCATCCCTCTACTCTAGCACATTTCATATTATAATTAAAACTATGGGTTTATATATTTCTACCTTCCCTCCAGTCTATGAACTTTAGAAGGTGAGGAAATGTGGTATCTCCATCTTTGTACCTCCATCACCCAACAAATTGGCTTATTTGAGGAACATGAATAGACAGAGAGGCAAACAGATAG